CTTTCGGGGGGTAGAAAAAGATAGAAAATTTTCAGCGAAATCAAAGGGGGTCAGGTAAAAAATTTGTCGATTTGACATGGAATGACCCATATATAGTCGCAGTATTTAATCAAGATATTTTATTTACATAATAATACACACGAATTCACAGAGAGTTAAGACAAAAACTGGTGATAATTTGGATAATTAGATTGTGATGCTATTTTTATACGATTGATTAACTGATTGAGAACAAAATTAATACTTTATACTGAATACAAATGATGTGAATTAATGTGAATTAATGTGAATTAATGTGAATTAATGTGAAGAACGAAGAGAATATGTAGAGTTATGTAGCGTAGTGTACTGGTCGGTAGTCCGATACCTATACCATTGCTCGCCCATCCTCTTGTTTCTTTTTATCTTTTCGAGGAAGTCCAAAAATCAATAGAAGGGGCTCCCCTTCATCGTTTCTCCTTTCATAGCATATACAAATGTAGTAAATCTATTGACAAATACATTATAAATATTTTTACAAGCTATTAAATATTGTTTATTAACTTTTTAGGCTTATATAATATTACATCTCTAAGGATATATAAAAAAATAGTTTTATATTTATAAAAAAAGGATTAGATGATTTATGGCAACCGGATTTGTTTGACGTTCGCTCGTATGCGTAGCAATAACTTTAATTCTTAATATATTTAATTGTATCAATATTTTTTATTTTTTTACTCTAAAATAACGATAGTAAAATAATTAAAAATAAATTTAACAATAAAACAAATATGCAAATTTATATTTAATTAAATCACTTATTGTGGTTTATATCCAAAACTCTGTAACAGTTATATTCATTAATATAATTTATTATCGGACAGAAATATTAAAATTATAAGCACTTATAATGAAATTGCTAATAAAATTTTAATCCAAATTATGGCGTTCCTTTCGCTTTTAATTCCTCATAACATGGCCTAAGCAATATACGATTCTTTTTTGCTGGATTGTAATATTCGTGACCCTGTAATGCAAAAAAAGATTATAATTTATGAATGTTTATCTAATAAGGAGACCTTACGGTTGTGCCCTCACGGATTTTAACAAGCTTTGGTATATTAGTAGTATACTAGTAGGGTGTTATCGTGGTGAAGTATTTCACCCTAACGCGAAGCCAATTTTGAGAAAAAAACTTTTAAAGTTTTGATTTATTTGTATACATGTTTATATTATTTTAAATTCGACTGTTTATCAAATGGCGCGCTAGCTTATGTAGTAGCGTTCTCGCTTCTCGTGCTGCTAGTTAGTGTTCGATCCCTTTATGGGGAAACGTTTTTTAATAATTTTTTTCCATCTGTTTTCAAATTGATTTTTCAGAATCCTTAATTTTTAAATATATACAGGAAAGAGAAAATTATTTATTACAAAAAAATTAGAAATAATAAATTTTTTAACATCTTGCACAAATGATAAAGGAAAATTGATTACTTGAATTACAGTTAATATTTTATTTTTTAACAGGTATATGAAAAGGTATCTTCAATATACTAACAAATAACAATCGCAAATATTCTAATTATTAACTATTTCATGCATAATATACCTGTTAAAAAATAAAATGGTAACTGTTATTCAAGGATTAAAGTTTCGTTTATTATTTACGCAAGATGTCAAAAACTTTATTGTTTTGAATGATTTACGATAACTATCACTCTGAAACCTGCGTTTAATAAATATTAATAAATGTACAATAAATCTTAAAACTCATGGATATAAAAAAATTATACATGAAATTGTTAATGAGTAGAATATATAGGATTGTTATTTGTTAATATATTGAAGATTTATCTATTTTCATATACCTGTTAAAAAATAAAATGTTAACTGTAATTCAAGTAAAATCAATTTTCCTTTATAATTTGTGCAAGATGTTAAAAAATTTATTATTTCTAATTTTTTTGTAATAAATAATTTTCTCTTTCCTGTATATATTTAAAAATTAAGAACTATGAAAAAACAATTTGAAAAAACAGATAGAAAAAAATTATTAAAAAAAAACTTTACCGATGAAGGATCGAACACTAGCTAGCAGCATGAGAAGCGAGAACACTACTACATAAGCTAGCGAACCACTTGATTAACTATCGCATTTAAGATAATATAAACATGTATATAAAAAAATCAAAACTTTAAAAGCTTTTTTCTCAAAATTGGCTTCGCGTTAGGATGAAATACTTTACCATGATAACACCCTAGTAGTATACTACTAATATACCAAAGCTCGTTAAAATTCGTAAGGACACAACCGTAAAGTCTCTTTGTAAATAAAATATAAAAAATTATTTGTACAAAAAGAAATCATACCTTCGACCAGTCATAAGAAACTGCATAAGCAAATATTTGTCCATTATGATTAAAACAGCAACGAACAATTGGCTGTTCCATTGGTTCTGATGACTTTAACTTAGTTCTAGCATCTTTATCCCAGAAACCGAAAGTACCATCTGCACCTACAGTAGCTACCGTACCATGAACAGGATGAAACGCTATATCATTCACCTGTAACGATAAAAAAAAAAGATAAAGTCTAGTTTCAAATATTCTTTACTTAATTTATATCACCGTACTAACAGCATAAATATCCTGGTAACCATTTGGAGATGCATTTATCCTGTGACATTTGAAAGTAAAATTGTCTTTACTAGTTTGATTCAAATGATGTATAGCCACGCGTCCTTCTGTGCTTCCAATAGCAAATCCGGTAGGTATTTTTTTTTTATCTCTAAAAATGGCTACACAGCGATACTGATATTTTAAACTTAATTCAACAGGCTTAAATTCACGTGGACTTCCCTCTAATTGATATACAATTAAACCACGACCTGCTGTTCCTACCACGGCCATAGGATAATCCTTTTAATAATTTTCATTATTAAAAATAATAGACAGTTAAAGCGCATACACTTTGAATAATTATTTTAAAAAAATGTAAAATACGTACCACAGCAGCACAATAACATCTTTCAGGTAAATTAAGCGTCATTGCTGGTTTTGAGTTTCTTAGATCCCAAAACTAAAAATATAAAATAATAAATAAATAATAATATAAATGTCTTAATACACAATATATAAAATATTTTAAAACAATCAACAACTTTTAATGTTTTATCCCAAGAACCGGTCATCAAACAAGAGTATGTAGTTCCTTTAATCCAGTGACAAGTTCTGATAGGAGCGTCATGAGCTGCTACAGGAATGCTTTGATTCGAAGCTAAATCCCAACATTTAGCAGTTTTATCACACGAAGCCATAAATACCTTGGTTCCATCCTAATTTAAAAAGAAAAGTATTATTGCTCACTATACACTAGTTAGTTAATATCGGTATAATGCATCTATAAAGAATAATATTTACATCACTCCAACAAACATCTAGAATGGGCGCAGCCATAGATTGTATTGATTTGGGAACTGTTTTACCAGATTGTTCCACTTCCCAACATCGAACATTGCAATCCCAAGAGCCAGCAACCAGAAAATTCTGTTGCAATGCAGCAGGACTGAACTTTAAACTAGAAATGGAATCATCTGGCGGTGAAACAACCTCGAAATCTTGCATGGGATTAGCCAATGTAGTTGCTCCTGATCGTATTGTGCCAGTTTGATTAAACATTTTATTCCGATGATGAAACAATCTCTATTCTAAAAAAAAAAATATAATAAGATCTTTTATATTTGACATCTTACAAAGTATACTTTCTTACATACAAAACACGTGTATAATTCTACACACTCAGTCAGTTTAAATTATAAATTTAATATGAAAGACTATGTGTGTATCTCTCTATCTCTCTCGCGTATATAATAAACAAAAAACACTTCCTCGATTTACCTTTTTTAAAAATACCAATTATATTCTCACGCTTCACCACGTTCACTTCTTACAAGTGATTACATACAACAAGTAATGAATGAAAACATACGCTTCTTTATCTAAAAGTTCATTGGTCGAAATTTTGTCTTATAGTAATCACGTGTAAACTCAATTTCCCGATTTTTTGATTATTTTCTTACCAACGTTCAATCATTAAATTATGCTGGACACAAATAATTTATCTAATTCTAGGGATTTTTTTCCCTTTTTTTGTTACATAGTTGGTCTCTTAGGTTAGTGTAATAAGTAATACATTTAATACGCGATACGCAATTCTAACAATAGGTGTCCGTGGTTTGATATTAAATGGAGAGAGTGGGGGCAGCAGGCAGCCATATTGGCTACTGGTGCTACTACTGGACTTTTGAGAGAAAGTAAAAAAATAACCACACTTTTTTCATAATCTACATTAAAGAAAAAAATGTTGCGCTGTAGGATTTTCCATTGACCTTGTAAAGTTTGTTTAATCTGCGTGAATACAAAAGTGGTGTAACGTGTGAATCTCTAGAAGAGTACACCCCTTTTTAAACACAAAAAAATGGTACGTCTTTTTTTTTTCTTCTAAGCGTCGATTCGATATTAAATTATTTTCAATTTCTTCAAAATATTCTTATGACCTATATATATATATATGTATAATATTTTTTTTTATAGAGTTTCTTTGGATTCGGTCAGTCTGCTGACATAGACATTACTTTGGATGGTGCAGAGACCAGAAAGACAGCAGATATCAAATCTGAGGATGGCAAGAAAGAACATCATTTGCTTTATTATGATGGGGAAGCAATATCTGGAAAGGTAGGAGTTTTCATTTGATAAAATTATCAGCCTATTATTCTATTATCACAAGATATTCGAGTATCCAAATGTGGTATGTGTATGTAACTTGAAAGTATATGTCCTAAATGTCAAAGCGTAATAATTAACTGTCAATACTTGACAAAATTTTCCTATTCAAATGTACTGTATTCGATTATAACTATCATTTGATGTTAACTGTCTCAATATATGTATATTAAATAATGTATTACAATATCATTTAACTACTAATATATATTTTTGATATTTTTATCTTATATTAATAAATATGTGTAAGTGAAGTCTTGCGTGTATAATTTTCTTGTAAAAAAATGGTCAGTATTATTCAACGTGTGTTATATTATGTTACACAAGTAATTTAATTTTAGGTAATGTATTCTACCGTTACATACATAATAGGATTATTTTCTCATTGCTTCTAGATTACCATTAGTTTAAGAAAAGCTGGTAAGCTGGAACATCAAGGTGTTAAAGTGGAATTCATTGGGCAGATTGAATTATACTATGACAGAGGTAATCATCATGAGTTTATTAATCTGGTAAAGGAGTTAACCAGGCCTGGTGAATTGACTCATAATACTGTATATACGTTTGAATTTGCGAATGTTGAGAAGCCTTATGAAAGTTATACTGGTTCTAATGTGCGGCTTAGATACTTTCTCAAAGTGACAATTGTTCGAAGACTTAGTGACATTGTTAAAGAACTCGAACTAGTTGTACATACGCTTAGTTCCTATCCTGATATGAACAATCCTATTAAAATGGAAGTCGGAATAGAAGAATGCCTGCATATTGAATTTGAATACAACAAAAGCAAGTAAGAAATTAACAATTTCATGTATTATAAAATGATTAGAATACATGATCTTTTATTAATATAATTTTGTTTCTAGATATCACTTAAAAGATGTTATCGTGGGTAAAATATACTTTCTATTGGTCAGAATTAAAATTAAGCATATGGAAATCGCTATTATTAAACGGGAAACAACTGGTTCTGGTATAGAATATTCTAGCAGCAATTTACTAAGATATTTTACAGGGTATTTTGATTTAATTAATATGGTAAAATATTTATATATATATATATATATAATAATAATAAACATATACAATGTTTTAAAACTATTTTACTTCATATTGATAATTTGAGTTTTCAATATCATTAAAATAATATCAGCTATTTCTTATTAGTATATTTTTCTAGTCTTCATTATGTTCTAATATATTTAACCATATTAATAAATTGTCTTGCCCCGTATAGCGAATAGATCATTATTCATGATTTTGTACAATTTATAAGCATGCCATAAATGGAAGGAAATAATTTTATTTTTATATACAATTATTTTTGTATATCATTAGTTTTACTAAAGTTATAATTAGAATATATATTTGCAGGGCCACATACATTTACAGAAAATGAAACGATAGCTAAATATGAAATTATGGATGGTGCTCCAGTACGCGGAGAATCTATACCCATTAGAGTATTTCTAGCAGGGTATGATTTAGCTCCTACAATGCGTGATATTAATAAAAAATTCAGCGTTAGATACTTTCTCAATTTAGTTCTAATGGATGAGGAAGATCGTAGATATTTTAAACAGCAAGTATGTTGAGTCACGTGTATACTTATTTTTATAATTCGATATATTCCCTTATTAATTATGGTAACTTCGTTTTGATTTTTCTTTTTTGATCTGATAGGAAATCACTTTATGGCGTAAAGGTGAAAGAAGTAGAAAATCTCAAACAGCGTCTCCACATATGCCATCACATTTAGTGTCAGCAGAAACAGGATTTCCACAAGGTGCCGCACAAAATGGACCTCCATCGGTGATAACAACCACTGATCAATTATCAACTAATATTAAAAATATAGAGGAAACTCCAGCTCCTATGGAAGGTATGACACGTGAGGAAGGAGATGGAGAAGGAGAGAAGGAAGCAAATCCAGAAAATAATTAAATTGTGGAAATAATTCAGTTATAACTGAAATTAAGAAGTAGTGGACTATATGAGAAAAAGTCAAGTACATCTAAAAACAGTGCAAATGGATAAATACTTTCTAAAAGAATTTTTCCTTGCTCTGGAGTAGGGAAAGTTTTAGTAAACGAAAATGACGAAACTGCGAATAAAGTTGTAAATATTTTTAATACATATATATGTATATATATATATATATTAATATGTATTAATATAAATATATATATATATATACACATATATAAAATTAAGAATGTAAATGAAGTAAGTGCAGACTATTGATTAAAAGTTGAAAACTATTGAAATATATAATATACTAGTCCTGTCTGTTTGGCAGGATCAACATAAAAATTTTATTGGAAAAGAAAAAAGGATGGTAAAGAAAAAGCCGAACAGTGAAAAATTAAACTGGGAAATAGAAATGTTAATAAATGGACAATATAATAATCAAATATTAAGTGGTCAACATTATTGAAGGGCATCTGAATATTACAGTGTTCTATTTTATACAAACCTTCTATATTATACAAATTGCATCCTTGAGCTATATATTATTCCTTGAATCTGAATAATCATTATTGTATAAAAAAATTTTGTAAATCTGAGAACTATGTTCACACTAGCGCAATATGGTACTCGATTCATTGGGCCTCTCATCAATATATTACGTACCTATACAGGGTATTTTGAAAATTGGTGCCTATAAATAGTCTCAGAATGTTATCAAATTTATTATTAATAACTATCGTATTTAAATTAAGATAAATTTAATTGTTATTATCTATTTATGTTTCTTTTTTAATAACATTCTTAATACAGATAATTATACAAGTAATAAAAATTCAATGTTACTAATTTATTTATGCAGAGGAATCTTAAGTTCATAATAATTCATTATTAATGTCCAGGTCTAACTCGATTCTACAGTAGCTACTTGCAATAGAATATACTAATCTTCAGAATGCTCTGTATGATACATCTGATAATAATTCTATAATCACGTATAAAATACATAAATTTCTTATGAATGAACAATTGAGGTAAAAATCCAAATTGGTTACAGTAACTCATTACTACGATCATTGTAACGTTAATTGTTAATTATTGTATTTGGAACTTTAAAATCATGTTTCATCTTCTTACTATAGCATACATGACACTATTTTTAGTTTTAATTTTGCCATAACTTAACATAATAGTTATAAAAAGCAGCATTTATTTGGCCACCCTGAATTGTATCCATTTATTAAATTTTGGGCATATTTACGCAATTTTTGTATGTCTTCTTAGATGAGGAAAAAATTGAGTTATAAGTATAAATAAAATAGATGGTTTTGCCTTGTGTGTTTTTGCACATATTTGGAATATCGAATCATGCAGTGGGGAAACTTTATTTTATAATTTAGTCTTCAAAAATGAAAATTAGGAAAAATATTGTTTGATCTTTTGTAAAAATTAATATTATTTGTAAATTATTTGGATTCTGAATCCATAATATGAGAGTTACCACGGTTTTATAAAATGTTATGCATGAAACGATGTGTTTGTGCATATATAAATAATTTTTAATTGTAAAATTAGTAATATCAAATATTTGTGATTAGTAAAAAAAAAATATGAAAAAGAAATGGGAAAGAATTCTATTACAACTGTATAATAAAAGTTGATCTACATTGTGTAATGAAATAACATATACAACTCGTGGCATTATATATTTTACTTTTGTTTTCTCTTATTATAAATATTAATTTTATATAAGTTTCTATATATTATATAGCAAACATAAAAAAGACATAAAAAAAAAAAAAAGAAACTATTTAATCTTTGTTATTTAGATTTTTCAAGGATTTAGTCATTTAGATATGTCCAATAGTGCTTATTTATATATATTAAATATGTTATTTGTTGAAAATAAGTGTATAGTTAATAACAGCCCACGAGATTATTTTAATTAAGTACAATATTTTCAAATATATTATATATATGTTTCATTTATGTTATTGTAAATATGATCTAATTATAAAAGGATATCCCAATCTTGAAAGGGATATTCCAGTTGGTCTGGTCAAAAAATCGATTTTTTTTGTGCATATTCTTATAATTTGGGGTCTGTCTTAAAACAGGGTCCTGAAAATTTCAAAATAAAATTCGTTACAGTAATCAAGATACGAAAATTTAGCGGACACACAATCCCATAGAAGTTATAACTGCATGAGAAACTTTAAACACGTTCTTTTTTTTTTTTCAAACATTTTTCAAATCGTGCATGCGTGCGTGCATTTTTTCAGAAACTACTTGATCGGTTGACTTGCAATTTTGCAGATATGTATAGAATACGTGTCAAGCCATCGTTTGACGGTGAAAATATGTTTATAAAAATCGGAGTACTTCTTTTCAAGCGCCGCTAAATTATCCATTTTTTTCTTTATTTTTTTAATTTTTCCTCGTTCAACGACAAAAATTCGTTTGTTTAAGATTCTAAAGACGGCTGCAATCAGTTAAAAAAAGATAAACATTTTTCGCTACATGATGTGCGTAATATTCTGTAAAATGTATAATTTTCAATAAAAATGCTTTTGACAAAATTTGAGAAGTTATTTTGACGTGTATAAATATAACTGCAAAATTGTAACGCTATAGATTAAACGTTTCTTTCAAATTAAATTTCTCAGAATCATCTCAAAAACGGGTGTTCAAAAACTAGAAAATATCTTTTTTAGGTCCGTTTACTATGTTTAATTATTTAATTTTACGATTATCTTATCTGATTAGAATGTAAATTACACACAAACATGTATAATACACACAGGAGAAAGATTTTATTAGGAATTATATATAATTGAATACAAAATGTGGTATATATTATACTGAACAGTATGATTGATTAAAATGCAAAGTTTTTATTAGATCTGTATTATTATTTATATAATTAAAGTTATTACGCGCATAAAATAAACTATATAATAATTTTTTACAAAAATTATATAAAATGAATTAATAATAATCATAATCCACTTTAATTAGTGTTAAATTTGGCGGTAATCGTTGCATCACAGTATAATTAACGTAGGTACTAGTGACGTCCTTGTCGATTTAGTTTGTGTTTTTCCAATTTAGAGTATTTTTCCATTTATATTCCTTCTACGTGTAACATTACGATAAACATCTTGTATGTAATAGCATCTTTCATGTTTAATATTTTATTTCATCAAATAGTATCTCTTTTTACAAAGATCTACGCACTCTTCTACTAACAGCATTAAAATTAACTGATGATTTTCTATGCACTGTTTTTCTGCATACAATCCCACATACTGTGCTTTGTGGCTTCTTGTATATTATTAATACTCGTACAATTGAGATGACAGCTTCCTTAAACGAAAATAAAAATATTAGTGTATAATCTAAAAAAAAGAAATAATTAATATTATAAATTATTTTTCATTTCAGGATAATAATTTCTATCATTAGGAATCATAGCGTATATTGTTGAGCATCATGCATTATATTAAATATTTAATAAATTATAATTTTTTTGAATCGTTAATTACTTACAATATTACGTATGTCTTAGCATGGTTCTGCACTGAATTTGTATAATTTCTTTGAATCTTGAGAACATTACTGGAACAAAAAAAGCAAATATTAATCTGAAATTTTTAATAGGAATGAAAGATATATTTTTGCGGTAATTGAAAATAACTCAGTGAGGGCAAGCTGTAAGTCATGGATTTTCATTATAGCGTATACATTAGTTACTTAACATCATAGTAATTTAATAACTTTATAAGAGACAACACGAAATCTTTTTCATATGCGTACTAACCTTTTAGAATAAAAAATGTTGTCGTAACCCTTTTCAATGATTTAATCTCAAATAATCTGCAATAAAACAAACATTACACATTTACAATTATGTTCAATTGTAGATCATATATTTAATAGTTTTTGATATATCAGATAATAATTGACTTCATAAAAATATATCAGACATATGCTTGTTTTAAATCATCATGATAAAATGATGCAAATTAATATATACAATTATAATTTTACTTACATTGTAATCCAGATGCAATCCCCAAACGCAAGATGCAAAATATATTTCTTTAATCTAAAATGAAAATTTCCTCTTTGTTACATTTAAAAAATACTTAAATATTTAAATTATTAAAGTAAAAAAGCTAATTATCAGAGAACACATTTTATCACCATTTACTAATGTAAGACAGGGATAACTTAATCGATCATCATTTAATTATATAAAATTTGTAAAATACGTTAAAGAAAACATAGTCAACATAAAAATGTTGGTATTAATATTGGTTAATAGTGCTCCAAACCTTACCTTAATTTAGTTCACGACGAACTTTATATTCTCTACTCTTTGATTCTTTTTCTTTCTTCCATGCTCTTATTACGGTACTTCCATAACTTCCATACATTATTGTAGATTGTGAATCATCAATCTTTCTTATTTTAACTCAAAAACATTGTAGTATCAATTCAATCTAATGTATTCTATCAGTCAACCAATTTTCTGGTCATATACTGTAAAAACTAAAATATATATTTATACTTAACATATGTGTGCAACTTTACGATTCATATAATATTTTATTTGTATAAAATTCAGCTCTAACATTCATCATTAATAATCCGATTGACTGGGACGTTAATTAAGTCATCATATAGAAAAATATTTTATATATTACATGGAAAATATCACAATATTTACCTCTAATGGTTTTTCTGCTGTCGCAGTCTGTAAAAGTTCCATCGTTCGCAAACATATTCATGTAGAAATTAATTATCGGAGATATTCGCCTACAAATAAAATATACATATAAATTTGCAAGTAGCTATAACCAAAAAAAAAAAAGAAAGAGGACAAATTTTATTTAATAAAATCAGAAAAAACTACTCATTCATAGTATTCAGACTGGGGCAGTATCTTTTCATCATTTTTTATCATACTATTAAGTCGATATAATATAAATGATATATATATATATATAGTTTGTTATTGAATTTTCTAGACAAATAAATATATGTATTATTATAAAATATAATGAAACGCAGTTAGAATGAAGTTGAACAAAAAATGAGGTTTAGAAATAAATAAAACGATTCGCAAAAAAAAAAAAAAAATAATAAAAAACGAACAAATACTCACTACAATTTTAACGTGGTTAAGAACAAATTTTGCAGTAAACATTTTCCAGTATTGGTGCAAGCCACTCAAACTGAAGAAGCTTTATTATCGCCATTATAAAGGTGCGAAGTAAACGTTCAGCTTATATACGATTGCTAGAACGATATAAAAAAGAAACTAATTCGCAAAAAAAGAAATTTTCTATTCTTATGCAAGAACATTTAATATTCGATTAAAAAATCAGCAGCATATGAAGATCATAATCAAGAAGTAATCATACGAACGAGACTGAAAATGTCTTCATCATCATAAATGTTTCGTGCAGAAATATATACTTTTAAAAATGTGTTGGGCAAAAAATATATTATTAAATTGAATGTAAAGAAGCTATTTTATAATAACGTACTATTTTATAAATAAAGCATCAAATAATATACGTGGATGAAGCTAGATTCTTAAACGTATAATAAGTAGCGAGAATGTTCTTACCAATGAATACACCACGCTGCTGTCGACCAAAGTTTCTGAGCAACCATGCTTCATAGTCGCGAGTTTGAAACGAAATGAATGAGAATAGAACGAGCTAAATGCAGTATACGATACCGGAAGTATCGTTTCTTCGATGCTTAACTCTCATTGGTTGATTTCACTTACAATTTTCTGTAATATAATTATAATGCAGAACTATTGTATTTTGTAAGTTAGTTATTCATATATTTATATATATATATATATTTTGTGCGTGTGTGTGTTTAAATTAAATTAAATATTATATATATATGAGTTGTACTTAATTAGTTTTTCTTCGAAGCGTTTTAAATGTGAGAAGTACAGATATTTTTAAATATAGATGGCAGTAATGTTTTATTCAGTACATTATTTGTTTTACGACAAAAAACATATCTATATATATAAATATTAGAAAATTATTTTTTATTTATTTATGAAAATAAATTTTAAAATTACTTTTTTAATAATATAATTAATGTGTCAAGTATATAATTATTTGCTATATAGTTCCTAGAATAAACGTCCATGTTGGGTCTATAAGTATACACATTGATTCTATGCATAAATATATATGTATATATATCTTATGTTGTATGTGTGCACATGGAGCCTGTATACGAGGAGGACGATCTTAGTGTTATAAATGTGGCTACATATTCAAAATGAAAGGACAATTTCGATTGCCACTAGAGAGCGCGTCGATTCGCTGGATCTGACTTGTTTTCATTACTGTTAATGCAATCCACCACAACAAAATATTTCACCATTTTAAACATAAAATTCAATTACAATTCACATTTGTAAAAAAATTAAGGCTTCGTGATTAAAACAACGAAGCTTCGTAATTAAAACAAAAACATCAAAGAGAACTATTATTTATAAAATCACATGTACTTAAATCTAAACTTAAGAACATCACCGCCGCCCTCGTGGATAATTATCGTACTCGATATTTAGTCATTTTCAACAACACAAATTCAACGAAAACGCGTATCTCGATCGTCCTCCTTGTATATAGCTCCGTTGTTGTGTATTTTAAGCGGTCAAGAGACAAATCTAGATTCTTTTCTTATAACCTCCAAAGATTATTCAAACATTTATTATTCAGTAAATTATTCAATTTTCTATTGGATGAAATGAGGTTTGCATTTAAAAAACTTTTCAATTCTAAAGTGTTTCATAATATAAGGTTGGTAATAGAATTATTTTTGTAAAAAGTAATAGAAAATATATAAAGTCAATTTAATAATATTTTATTATATACGATAAGTATAACAAAGATGAAATATATTATGTTATAACCATGAAAATATTTTCTCATTGATTTTTCATAGAAATTTACATCTTTCGCAAAATGTAAACGGACATTCTTATGAAGGACCAGGAAAAACAACAGTAACCATACTCAATAAAAATGAGCAGTCTTTGCTGTTGATAAGTGATTATAATGAAGTACGTTTATAAATTTTCAATTATTACATCTTACTTTCATTATATAACGTAGAGTCTTCTTTTCTTTCTTTTCAAATAGACAGGATTTACTTTAAACAATGGTATCAAAATGATCGGACCTATAATTATATTTTCCAAATCATTACTATTTTGGAATGTTGCATCCGCAAAAGATATAAACAAAGACTCCCTTATACTGTTTAGCATTTTAGAACCTAAATTGGATTTATTAATAATTGGATTAGAGAGCAATTATGACCACAAATTTCTAATTAATCTGAAAGAAACGACAAAATATTTAAATATAAATACTGAAATTTTGCCTGTGTCTCAGGCATGTAGCATATTCAATTTTGTAAATGTAGAAAACAGATATGTTGCAGCAGCTTTGATTCCACCTAAAACAAGTCCTATAGCTTCTTTCTTGGCAAAGAATTGGAATAAAAACTATAAACCACCACAAATAAAAAACAAATAATACAAAGTTATATTATTTATTTGAGATTGTTTTAGAATTATAGTGTCAAACAAAAAAAAGCACAATTATTACAATACATTTAAAAAGTTAGTTGTGAGATTTGTAAGGTTGTGTGTGTGTTTGTTTGCATACGCGGGCATATATGTAAATAATGTTACATAGAATATAACAACAATATGTCTCTAAAAAATAAAAAAATTATAACGTTTAACAAAATGTAAATGACATAGTAGTAAATGAAAATATCTACATAAGAAAAAACTATAAGTAACTACTCATATGATTAATAATAAAAATAATAACACATATTAAAGATATATATGTAATATGATTAAAAAGTGTTTTAAGGATTTAAAAAGCTATTTTTTGTTTTAGTCAATATTTTAAAAAATTTATAATCAGTATGCATTTGTAATAAAATATTAATCTGTTATCTCGGAATTATTTCAAATATTGATAAATTAATATTTATATATAAAAAAAAAAGATATTCGTATGTACCGATTATTTAATTAAACAAAATACTACTGATCAACATTAATATGTAAAAATGAATTTGAAATTGCCGCCTATTATTAGAGTCTTATTATTTAGTAGAACAAAAGCATGGAAGATGGCGCATGGGATAAAAGGACTTGATATAAAGACATAGTCGAATCTATTATCTCTCGAAGTGTCATGATCGTAGAAAGAGAATATGGCTGTCAACGCGGAAGTTGACGAACCTAGCTTCGTGGACGAACCTTAAAAGTCGAGGAGGCGTCGCTCGCATCTGAAAATCCGGAATGCTCGTCGTGAACGTTCTTCCGGTAATGTTCTAAAACTTCCGTCCGTCACGAAAAAGGTACATATCATATTTGAAAGAAAAAGGTAATTTTTCGACCGTGTTCAAACACACGTAGACAAATAATATTTTAAATAATAAATTAACTAGTTAAAAGAGTAATCAATATGGTAATAAAGGTAATATTTTTCTTTTGTAATAATTAGTTAAGGTGCGTGTACGTAATATGAGTAAATAAGTAAATAGTTTGATTGAACGTGTGATTAAGGGGAGTTAGATATCGAAAATAAATCGATTATTATATTTTGATATATAATTAATGAAACACAAAAAGAAAGAAAAAGAAAACAATTACGTTTTTTATTTTGAAATTTATTGAATAGATTAGAAATATAAGGATGATTGAGATATTTTCTCTGAAGTAGGAATCTGCCCGAAATTTATCGTGACGATGATGACGTCACTCGTTCTCTTTCTCTTTTCACTTCCACCTCTCTTTCTCTTTTTCTTTCTCATTCCCCCCTCTCATCGTTCTCTCTTTCTTTCTCGTTCGTGGCAGGGCACAACCGACGTCGTGACTCGTCGTCGCATCTACAGTGCTTTTGGTTTTCTTTTTTCCTAGAGAGAGAGAGTGAGAGAGAGAACGAACTCGTAAGGTATCAAGAAGAAAAGAAGATTTCATAGAAGTCGATTTATACAGGAGAAAGAAAGAAAGAAAAGAAAGGAAAAAAGGCAGGAAGTCTTATTCTTGATCGATACTATATTTAAAGTGTTTTACGAACGTGCCGAAAAACATTTTCTTCCCATTAAATTGTATTTTTTAACAGCGTTTACCCTCGATTCGTGAGTACAGATTTAATTCTTTTTTTTCATGTATTTTTCATGAAAAGTATCGTTCTAGTTAACTATTTATATGTATATATATGTATATACATAAATATACATAACTATATATATATACTGTATCTCTATCGGTCATCGTGTCTTCTCAACTTGAAGCGACACCGATTACGATCAAGAGAAAAAAGAGAGGGGAGAAAATAGTGTTTTAATTTTTATTTTTGTTCTTGTAAAATTGTGTGATAAATTGTCTCATGGCATCAGACTATTGACTTTTATAAACACATATACGTTAGTCACGAAGGACATTAGACGATATAAACGAAAGGAAGGAATGTGCGTTTCAAATTATTCATTTAGAATATATACATTATTTCGTACGCGCGCGCGCGTGTGTGTGTGTGTTGTGTGTGTGACTCCTTTAACTTAACCGTCGTTCGCCATTTTTTTTTTTTTTTTAAGATTTTTGAATGTGTGAATTTTTTGTTTTAATCAGAAACATTATTTGAGTAAGTTTTGGGGAGAACAAAAAATTCTATTTTCGTGTTACTTTTCTAGTTTTATGATATATTTTACAGTTTATTATTCCATCATGTAAATTCGGATTTCTTATTTCGAACAATAATAGGTTTTAGAAGATAGCTAAAGATGGTTAGGTACATATCGTAAGAGGTTGAGGAGAGGATCGATTACATTTGGTCTATGCTTATGGTACGACTGCGTGATAGAAATGATATGGAAGCGTTATTATTAAGGTTGCTTTTGCTTTCATATTAGTAATCTCTATTATATACTTTACTTAAATTCCTGATTTTATAGGTTTTGCTTTTTTCTTAAATATCAACAATTTGTTTTGTTTTACGAACTGTTTAATACGATAAAATACTCGTTTTAAACTTGTATACTAATATATTATGTAATTAAAGTAGAAGTACAAATATTTCTAATTGAAAATTTATTAGTATTATGATAGGATGTTAAGTTTCAAATATATTCATACGTGTATTCGTTTTATATGTTAATTGTTTATTAACTGTTGAATTTTCATATTTAAACGAACAACAACAGAACTCTTGTTGAGAAAAACGGTCAATTTCGTACAAACAATAAGAAAACATTTCTAAATATAAACATTGTACAATTAAACAAATGTAACTAAATTGTTCGAGTTTAGAAATATGAAAATTTGTGAATAAGTTTTGACAATATTCTTCGTGTAAAGTTAAAGTCATATTGAGAACAAATAAATAGTTTATCTACGTACATATGTACAGGTATGTCGCATTGCCACGTGCATGACATACTGATTGGACGACAAGATTGTCCTATATCAGTTGGTGTTGAGTTAAACGGTAAAACGTACGTTTTAGATTTTTCATATATATTTATTTTTTTTTTTTTCGAGAAGCTTAATAAATACTTTAGTAAATAGTTTAGCATATAGTTTAGAGTACATAGAAAAAGAATAGCAAGTACATATATATTATATTATATTATATAATTTATATATTATATATATATAGTATATGCATATGTGTGTTTCTGTGCGTTTTACTTGAGTATGTTAATGTGTTTATACATATATATTCACATAGAGACCCGTAACTTGGATCGATACCGTAAATCATGTATTACGAATGCGGATAAACGTTAGGTCATTAAAAATGGGGTAAAAAATATTATCTTGTTGTTCTTTATTTTTGCAATATAATTGTATTTATTTGTAGAGGGATCTTTTTATATATAAATTTATATTTATCTATTGTTTTTTTGTTATTATTATTATTGTTATTTTATAAATTTCTGATAAGAATAGGAAAGTACGAATTGTAGCTATTAAGGAATTGATTGCATAATCGGAATTATAATCCGCCATCTCGTATAATAGTATTATCGTCTTCGAAGCCCATCAATGTCTCCTTCCCTCTCTCCGTTTATTCTTGTAATCCTATATTTTAATTATGTTAACTTGGAACTCGTTTAGAAATTTATACAGTTTTATCTATTAGAAATGTGTTAGGAGAAATTAATTTATTCATATTGAATCTTGTTAGGTGATTTTTAGTATGGATTAGTATAAGTTTATCTTGAAAGTATTAATTGAGATATATTAAGTTATAAGCTTTGAGTTTTTATATTTATTGAAAAGATTTTAAATTGACTATATATAATCATCTTTAGTATACATTATATTATAATTTAAAGTTAAAACACGAAATATGGTAAATTGGAAAATTTGAATTTTAAATTGATTTCAAAGTTTGTTGAATGACCATAGTAATCTTTAATGTTCAATATATTAAAATAGAATTTTGAATATTATAATTACCAGTTCAACATTGGATAACTATACTTTTCTTTATTGTACAGTATATAACGGGCATTAAACTTTGGGGTTACTACAATATAATTTCACCTTTAGCATTAATTAATAAAAACTGTTTTATTATAGGAAAAGAAGAAAGTAAAAAAGAAAGACAAGCTAGAAAATTGCAATGTCATATCATCGCGGTGGTCAGTCAGGGTCTGTAGCTGTGTCTTACAGTACCAGTCCAATGGCACCACATTCACCTAGCAGACGATATTCGAGTGGCTCAACAACGTCTTCGAGTACAACAACGTCCGGTGTCGGAGGTGGTGGTGGCGGTGTTAATAGTGGTGGTGGTGGTAGTAGCAGCACCAGTGGAGTAACCAGTAGTAGCGGGAATAGTAGTAGTTCAAAGCCCAGGTGCAGTTTCATAAGAGATAGTACTCATCCAAGCAGTTTTGCATCACCCCCATCACCCTCGGTTTCTAGTATTCGACCCAGCTACGTCTCTGATTGCAGAAGATCTTCTTATAGTCAAAGTGGAAGGTAAGCAAAACATTTTATACATTTTCCAAAATAGCATTGATAGGAAGATTTAACACAAGTTTTGACACAAATCAATTGTTTTCGCATACTTTTATTTAATATGATGAAAAAAAAAAAACAAATACTTAATTAGATTAAAAATGAATTATTATTATTAAATATATATAATATGTATTTTGTGTTTACTTATTGACGGTATATATTTAGTTAGATGTAAATCAGTGTATGATTCGTCAATTTCAGTATTTTTTGAATACATAATAAATAAGTCATTGTAATTTATATTTTACATAATGCATAGTCAACGTAATCGTCAGCATACGCGATGATAAAGTTATATAAACTTGTATTTAATTATTGACTTATGGTAACGTATGTTCGTCCCGTTTTAATTGAATTATTTAAAAAAAAGAAAACACACAAGAAACGATAGAATTTCGGTAGAATACAATGGTAGAAAATAAATGTGTCGATCATAAATACTTGCAGATTTTAATTTTCTTTTATACCGGCATTGCTTTAAAAACATTTTCCCGCGTATTTTTTTGATAAATCATTGTTAGGAAAGATTGCAAGGTTTAGTGCTATTTTGGTGAAGGCTGTCAGGCTTGTGCAACAAATAAAAGTCAATATCAAAATAAGAAAATAAAAATATAAAAAAGTGCTTGTGGGAAAGGCTAGGTTAAATCATTTCATTTTTACCTCGATCGGCTCGCAGTTACTACTCATCAGCTACGACCAGCAGCCTCCGCAGGAGCTACTTGTCGGAGTACAGTCGTCCTCAATACTCACCTTTAAGGTGAGAAGAGCCTTTTGCACGTGGAAGGCTT